TATAATATAAAGAATTTTTTTAACTCAAAAATTTAAGTTATTAGATAAATATTACATTAAAAATTTTATATTATATTTCTCTAATATTTTCTCTCACAAGAACTTAAGACCCGTTTGGATGGGTTTTTTTTCTTCTCTAAAAGCTGTTTTTTTCTTGAAAAAAAGCACTTCTCAGTTTTAGTTCATTTGAATATCTGCTTTAAAAAAAAATAGAAGTAGCAAAAAAAACCAAAAACTTACTTTTTCCAGAAGCTAAAAATTTTAACTTCTAAAAAAACAGAAGTCAAAAGTCAATTTTTTTTTTCAAAAACTAAATATTTTTATAAAAATATAAATAGCTTTAACTTTTGTAAAAAAGATTTCTAAAATAAGGAAGAGATAAAAGTTATTTTTTTCAAGAGTGCAAACAAACAAGCTCTTATTGTAATTGAAAGGTGAACAATGATTACAAAAAAAAAAGAAAGAAAGGTGAACAATTAATACCGCTTAGATATCATATAAAAATTAGAATAAAACTTTAGTGCACGGGAAGCATCTAAGTGGGTACTTTCTTTTTTAAAATGTGGAAAAAAATGTGGGACATAAATAAAAATATACATGAAGGAAAGGAATAGAGTGAAATTTTGGAAAAAGAAAGTATCCATTTGGATAACCCATGCACTAAAGTTTTATTTTGTAAAATAATAAAAGAGTCATATTCTTCTTCCCATAATATGTGGTTATTCAGTTTAACAGCTCTATACCTGACCAAACTCTCTGAAGCACTGATCTACTTCCTTCGTCGTTACGCATATACTTAGTGATGTGAACTCGTTATCATGCACAATTGCACATGCTAGTTTGTGTGATGGTTAGAAGAGACAAGAAAGAAAGAATACACATAAACAATTAAACACATGAAACGCTAAAAAGAAAGGGATATGATATTATGACAACCAAATAATGTTATTATCAATGTTACTACCATATCTTAACCGTTGATTTTCGCCAATCAACGGTTATTATTTATTGCGAATTAATAATTAATTAATGAGTTTGATTTGAAAAATGATAACCATTAATTGGTGGAAATCAACGGTTAAAATGTGGTAGTAACATTGGTAGTAACATTATTTAAATGTCACAATATCTTATCCAAAAAGAAATTGATATATATGAGCTTTGAAGGCTTTATGGAAACATGATGGAGTTAAAAGAAGAAAATAATCCTTTCCCAAAGTATTGAAACTGCGAATGGTCCTTTTCATGCTGTCAAAGCGGGGAACAACTGTAATTTACCTTTATAAAAACTTATCTCTTTTTATTAAATGTTTTTGGAATTTCTAATAGAATTTTATAATTTTTCGATTTTTTTATCATTTTATTGATTACTTAATTAATCCGATTCAATTTATGTGAATTCCTATTAGAGTAATTCTTTAAAATTATTTTATAATTAAATGATTAATTATAATATTTAAAAAATTAGTTGAATAAATTGTAATATTTGTATTAATAATAAATTTAATATTTTGTTAATCAAAACTTGGAGATTAGATTGCATCTATCGAATATTCTTCAATCAAAATTCATCTGAATTCAATCATCAAATGATTAAAATGTTTTTCAATTTCACCTTAATTATGAGAAATCATATTAATTCAGGTTTTCATTAGTGAAAGAGTACATCAAAAAAATTAATCAATGGAGGATTAAATCAATGAGGAGAAAAGAGAGAAAGAAAAAATAGACTTTGCACATTTTAATGTGTGAGAAAGATAATTTTATCTCTTAAAGATGAGAAATTTTAAGGGGCATGATATACTTATCACGACAAATTACAACAGCCTAATCATTATCGATTTTTCTAAATTTAATAATTATAATTTATTAGAAATTAATAATTAATTAATAAAAGCAACCTAATAATTTTTAATAAATTAAAATCGTTAGATTGACAAAAATCAATAATGATTAAATTAGTTGTGAGAATGATAAACTTTTGAGGCCGTAAAAATCATTTCCCAAATTGTAAACCCCCAAATTATTACCCAGCAAGAAAAATACAAGAGTATTTATTGATTACTTACAAACTGCCCAGATAAACGAAAACAACAAAGGAAAAAAAGATATATGCCTGTTTAAAATGTGTTTTGAAAAATAATTTTTTGATTTTCAAAAACAAATTAAAAATCTGTTTGTTAAGGATTACTTAGTAAAAAAAAAATTAAAACTGTAACTACATATTTTTTTAAAATCAAATTTAGAGAACATTGTTATTTTTATTTTGTGTTTTGACTTTAATTTTTTTTTAAAAACACTTATTTTATTAACTATTTTATAAAATAATTTTAAAAACAAAAAAAACGGAACATAATCAACTATACCTAATCCTTCTTTTGGATCGGTCACACAACTTCAGTTCATTCAACTAGTTTCTAAGGCTATTTTTAAGGGGTCACAATATTATATCCCCCATGTGATTCATCATATTGAATTTCACTCTGTTGCACCCACATCGTATACAGAGCAAAAACATTTAGGAGGTACCTGGTACATGAATTTATTTGAATTTTAGGAAAACTGGTATTGGGTATTGAGAATTTTATTTATCCACATTTAATAAAATGTTTTAATTTTTTTTTGAGAATCTAATTTTTTCGAAATTTTAATTTGTGAACAGATTGTATAGCAAAATAATATTCAAAAATACCACAAAGACAGTGGTATTCTTAGAATTATGAGTATTGATAAAATTTGACATTTCTAATAATATTTAACAATTAATCAAATATAAAATTAATAAATTTGAATTGATATTTCTAATAATATTTTTGTCTATCAAATAATTTTTTTATCACATTCTTAGCATATTCTTCGTAAGGGTTCGCTTTTTCTTCAATTGCTGCAAATAAGTTATATGCAGTAAGTCCAATTCGACATCGTTTTGAGACGAAAATCATGGTATTTTTATAATTTTAACTTATTTTAAGATTATTATAGTCTTTATAATTATAATTTTTTAATTTTTAATTTTAAAATAACGTCATTTTAAAAATAAATATAAATAATTTATCTGTATTAACTATAAAAATAAATCTTAATTCTCGAATTGTTATTTTATTTTTTACTGAACGTCCCCTTATACTAGTCATTACTATTAAAAAGGATTTTTTAACACACATTCTCTGTACTGCCCTGTCAGAATTTATCTACAGAAACATAGGATCTTTTGATTGTGTTTTGGTTTTTTTGTTCTTAAAACTGTTTTGTAGAATAATTATGGAAACAGTTATTTTCTATGTTTTTTTTATTTTATTTTGAAAGTTAAAAACAAAAACAACTCAGACATGTTCTCTAAATTTGATTCTAAAAAAAAAAAAAAATTACAGTTTTTAATTTTTTTTTTTTACAAAATATGTCTTACCAAACGAGTTTTTTTTGTTCTAAAAATTAAAAAATTATTTTTAAAATCAGTATTCACTCAGAGCCATAGTGCTCTGTACTCTCTGCTTGTTCTCGGCTTACAGTGGCTCTCCTTTTGAGTTTAAGTAAATACTTATTGGGAAAAGTGTTATTATTACGAAAGATATAAAGTTACGTTATTTTAAATTAAAATTTTTTTTTTTGAGAGATAGAATGAATGAATTTTTTTAAAAATATAAATCTCATCTTTTTGTAAGAGATGTGTCATTTAAAATGACACACTTCTCTCTTTTTCTGTAATTATTATACTTATCCGTCGCTCTTCTCTGTTTTATACTTTTATTCACATACTGAAAGAAACAGAGGCCTAGATCACTACACAAAGAGTTCAATCCCATTTTGGGGAACACAAAAACGGTGAAAAAAATAAGACAAAAAAAGAAAATGAGGACAAAGAAACAGCAAGCATAAAGACTACGTCATTTCAGCCACCTCTAACAAAATGCCAGTTGGCCGTCTGTGTTACCTTGTCAGGGAAAAGCTGTCCCTTGTTGATGACATGACTGAAATTTGAAGGCCAAGAAAGTGACAAAACGTGTTAAAATTCACAATTCCAATTTAGTTTAAGTGGACACGGCTCATCTGCTTTCTCAACCTTAATAATAGGAAATGAGTTATTACATGTACACATGAATTTGTACGTATAAAAAGTAATTATCTAATCTTATTATTTGACCATAATTATTTATTTAAAAATTATATATTTTTTTACATAAATTTAAATTTTTTTATATGAAAAGATAATTATGTGATCATATTATTTGATTACATGATCATGTATTGATGATGAAATAAGAAATATATATAATTTTTAAATAAATAATTATGATTAAATATCATGACCATTGTGATTAAATAAGCTCACATTCCTCTCATACATAAAACTTTGGGTGCATCAAAATGTAGGTACATCTTTACCTAATAAAAAAAGTAAGGATATAAATAAAAATATAATTTCCCCATTTGGAAAAAAGAGATACTCAAACGGGTACATCTAATGTATTTAAAAATTTTCCCCTTTCATGATATTAGTTGGACACTTTTTTTTATTTTCTCTGAATACATTTTTTAATCATCTATAATAACTCCTTTTGATTGTATTGTATATATATAAAGATGAACACTGCGAGGAATTTAATAAACAGTAGAGGCATGTTCATATATCATTTTCCTAATAAAAGCTATCCTTTATTCATTTGATGGAGATTGTACGGATAAATAATAGGTTGACTACATTAAGCTATAGGTTAATTGAACATTGCAAAAAAGGTTACCCAAAATTTTCTATATTTTGGATAGGAGCAATCTTTCTTGTTCTACTTTTATTGTATCCGCACTACCAAAAATCTTGTCATCTAGTGATTGGAGCAATGGAAGTCATGGTGATAGAATTGCCAGGTAACCAAAAAAGACGCTTCCAATTTAATAATGAGGGTTAAACCTGCACTGTTGAGATAGGCTTTTTGTCCTGTCCTTTAAACTGAATGTTTGCATTTTGATGAAAGGTGAGAGGTTTTAAAATACGAGTGCATTTCCCTGATGAAATAAATAGAAAACAAACCCAAGTTCCAAGTTTGTTGTAGTTGTTTTTCTTTTTTTCCTCTTGACTTTTTTTTTAAAGCTTCCCATATGGAGCCTTCCCCAGGTTTAGCATCAGAAGTGGAATTCAATGGCAGTGAGTCTGGATGGACCACTTACATTGGATCTCCTATCTACAATGATGATGAGCAAAGTGTAGATATGGAAGAATATGGCAACAATTACAAGAATGGTCATGGAAATATTGATGATAATAATGATGATGATGATGATGATGATGACCACAACAAAGGTGAGAAAAATGATGACAGAAATAAAGAGAGTGATGATGAAGAGAGTGATGATTCCATGGCTTCTGATGCATCTTCTGGTCCAAGTCATGTTCATCTTGTATGTATAAAGAGTGAGGGAAGTCATGGCTCGGATTTCACAGAGCATGGAGAAAATGATCGTGAGAAGATCCTCTCGGCCAAGAGAGCCACCAAACAGGTAAGGAAGACAAGATATGAAGGAACGGTTGAAAATGAAGAACAGGACTCACTGCTTGTAGCAGATAGTGCTGAGAGTCATGTTTAAGGAGGAGTAAGGTAATAATTTTTTCCTTTCTCTTCAAAGCAGGTCAAGTTAACAAGGTTCACATAATATAAGGGCTCTTTGAGATAACCTAAAAAAAATGATACATCTGTTAAGAGTTTCTAGGATTAACTGAAAAGGGGAAGGGTGATCTATCCTTGTGTAAGGGAATACATCATTAGCCAAACTTAGTTTTGAGCAAGTGTTATTATCTGTGTTATATAAGTGAGAGGTTAGCAACTCTTTTCCTGTTTAATACTCCATTGGTTAAAACATGCTTGAGTTACAAATTTTGGCATCATTTTTTAGTCTTATGTGAAAGATCTGCTCCTGCATAATTGCCTCAAACCATTGACACAAACTTTCTTACAAGTAGATGAAGATTTTGTTTTGATTTTTTTAATTTTTTTGTTATTTTTTGGCATAGGTACATCATGGCTGAATTTTTCAGCTTGGAAATATGGAGAAGGAGTAGTCAAACCAAAGTCTTCTACCAACAAAGCAGACTCACGGACGACCAATGGTGTTGTGTGTACTAGTATATGAAATTTAATGTGTGGTCTAAACAGGACATTAACCAAAAAGAGTAGTTCCTGGATAAGAAGAGCCCATCAAATGTTTATTTTTGAATTACACTGTAATAGGCTATAGACGGCAAAGATAATAGGTATTTTGGAATAGAATAGATGTTAAATGTGAAAATTTATTTAGTGTTATGGATACACCAAATACCACGTACTTTGGAATAGAATAGATGTTAAATGTGAAAATTTATTGAGTGTTATTGATGCATCGAATTTTTGGTATATTTTTCACTTATAATATAATATGTGTTTTATTTTTTTATCAAATTATTTTCTCACATAATTTTAAAATAAATTATTTTTTAATAATTTGATGAAAATAAAATATATATTATATTATGAGTGAAAGATATATCGAAAATTCGGTATATCTACACTAAGATATTCTCGATTAAATGTACGCTTCATGTTTTTTTTTTTTAGCCGTGCTTAAAAAGCTTAGAAGCGGAGATTGGTCTTCTCTTTTATATTTACTATCAGATAATGATAAAAGAACACGCAAAAACATATCATGAGGAGCACTTAATTTTTTTTATTAAAAAAAAGATTAAATTAAAATGAGTACAATAAAAAAAGGGGATTAGCATAGTATAGCATAGCAAAAACTTTATAGCACCAGGTCTTTTATTAAATCAGTTCAATGAAAGAAAGTGCAACTAAAATAACGAATTAAGAAAAGCAATTACCAAGAGATAACATGTTTGATAGCAACTTGAGCAAACGTACATACCAAACAAGAAGTACGGAAGATGGAGATAGGAAGACAGAATACGCTAACATCTGCCGAGCCTCTCGTTAAGAGAAAGCGTACTAATATTATTTTTGGCAAAGGGCATTTCTGGTTCTCACATCACTCCAAATTGTATCTATATTTGGTGTTCCATTTTATGTTTTCAAACCATGATTTTGTGGATTTTTCCTTTTGAATGAACCAAGGTTATTGTTGTCGGAGAACATTGCAAACGTTAAGAAAATTACGAAGGAGATAAAAATTATTAGGAAAAAGTTTTATCCTTCTAAATGACACAACTTATATCTTTTCACTCTCACAAAGAGGTGAGACCCATAGCTTTATTTTTTTGTCAATTTTTTCTTCTCCTTTATCTATCTATTTCTCTATCTTAAAATGACACAACTTTACCTCCTTTAAAATGACACACACTTTTGTCAAATTATTATGGTTCGACAATTTGTCTACATCCACCCAATCAAATGAAAAAGTACAATTACTTTAATCTTCACTTGAAAAACCAAATCCCAATTACAACCAATTTTCACTAACAATTTGTAAGTTGTAACCTATTTCACTCGCTTTCAATCACGTACACTCTTATAATTTCTGCTGCACACTTCAATTACACATACACAGTTACGTAGAGAGACTAAAACTAGAGAAGTCAAAGAAGATTTAAACTCCTTCACGAGTCTGATCATTATTTCTACCATTCAAAAAAAATTACACGGCACATGTAAAGGGAAGTGCTTACATCTTTGTCTCTTTCACACATCTTTCTTTCCTTACATAACTCGTTTATTTGGTTTTTGCTTAAGTCATGTAAAAAAAGTGCCGGTAAGAAGCAAAAAGGGAGTTCAGGTGATTTTCTATGATTTTATCTTTTACCCAATGCAAATCTATGTAGACAATTCAACACAACTCACGCTATTACACGCATGAAAAGGAAATTACAATAGTAATGTAAAACAAAACAAAAAAATGTTCACATTAAGTTGATTAAATGGGCCTGTAGTACGTCCAATGTGTTGGGTTCCTAATGATACGCTTGGGCTGTCTCAGTCCCACCATGTGGCCTGTGTTTGTATTAGCATAAAATATGGCCGCAACAAAATGTCACTTTTTTTTTTTTGATGAATAAAATGTCACTTTTTAACTTAGGTGTAACAAGCTCCATATTTTTCTCATAATTATTGCATGTTCCACATAATTTTCTAACTTAGAAGAATAAACCTCCAACCATACATATTGTTATTATTTTTCTCTCCCTTCACAACTCCACATCTTGCATAATAATCAAAATCCAAAGAATCTAACTTCTTGCTGTGAGTGGAAAATAAATTTTATCAATTTGCACATGTCAAAATATTAATACACGATAACACGTGACACATGACAGGAGTGAAAGTTCAAAACGCACAAAAGTTCCACATTTACTAAAAAATGAGCGGTGACACTGACATGATTTCCGAACTGATTTCATGCATGTTATACACGAGTCATTCCTCAATATTTGAATTGTTTATGCCAATATTAATTTGAGTATCAAAATATCTTGGAGGTATACCCATCAATTTTTCCTCAAGATCACAAAGAAGCATCAACGGAACACCTTCAAAGAGCCTTCTCAACTGTAGAAGACCAGCTCAAATATTCCAGCATATCATCTTCAACCGTGTGTGTGTGTGTATATATATATATATATATATATATATATATATATATATATATATATATATAGGCAGGTATATTCTTACACCAGTGTAAGAGTTATAACTCTTACACTCAATCTTGACCATTGATCTACTTGTATCAAATGGCTCACATTACTAAAAAATTTGAACCCTTAGATATAAGTAGAATCAGTGGACAAGATTGAGAGTGTAAGTTATACTGGTGTAAAATGATCTTGACCTATATATATATATATATATATATATATATATATATATATATATATATATATATATATATGTGTGTGTGGGGGGATAAGTTATTCTACCTATCACTTTTTCTGTCTACCACCCTCCAACACCGTTAGATCAAAATCTCAAGAAGAGAGAGAAATATAAATGTTAGTTAATATTCTGATTCAACGGTGTTTTAGAGTGGTATGCAAAGATAGGCAAAAAAAATGGTAGATAGAATAACCTATCCCTATATATATATATATATATATAGGGCTTATCGTTTCTCAAGCTGCTTGAGATAATCTTATCTCCAGTTACTAAATCATAACCGTACAAAGATGGATCAATGGTGATAAAAGAAGAGAGAGAAAAAGGAAATCATAACCATTCAAAAGTGAATCAATTAATATAAGAAATAAATAAAACGACATAGTTTTGGGGTAGTCGGAGATAAACTTATCTCAAGCTGTTTGAGAAATGTTTTTCCCATATATATATATAATCCTTTAATAAGTTTGACAATAAATGATAACTATTGATTGACGGGAATCAACAGTTATGATTTGGTGTCAAAGAATATGACAATATATAATGCTTTAATAAATTTGACAATAAATGATAACCATTAATTGACGGAAATCAACGGTTAGGATTTAGTGTCAAAGAATCTTGATATATATATAGAGAGAGAAAGTTAACCCAACCCTAATTATCTCTTTGAGACAAATTGACTTCCCTCGATATTCTTACAAGTTTCGTCTTTTTGAGTGGGCTATAAAACTAATCCGGAGTATGGAATGAGTGAGGAATAAAGATATTTAAACCCCCAAAAGTGGCATGTGGAAATCAAATCTATGCCCTTTTTCTTTCCACTTACTCAACTCCCTTACTAGCAGTTGAGCTACCACTATTTGGTATTCAACCGTATATAGTTAACCCCAGATATCCTAAACTGCTCAGATACTAATGTTACTCACCCCGTTGATACTTGTTATGACCCTAATACTATAGGATTTATTAGTCTCAAGCAATAGAAAAACAAAATTTTGTTCCTGCACACTCAGTCAAAAGCGTGACCCACTAGGTGAGAGAGAGAAAAAAAAAGGATTGCTCAATTATCGATATGAGGGAGTGTGATTTTCTGGTTAGTTGAGATAAATAAAACCATAATACTATCCCCCTCAATCTCTCGTTTTAGTCCCTTCTTTGTATTGTCAAAATTTTCTATCTTCTCTCTTCTCTCTAATTTTTCACCCTCATTTCCTTTGCTACATTGAGGAATTTTCTTCTATACTACTGCTCTACCGAGTTGGGTACAACATTTTCCTAAATTGAAAATTTTTAATACCATTTGAATCCAAGTCTTTTCTCATAATTTCTTTCAAATTCAAAAATTTTCTTTTTTTAGAAGTAATGTATGGTACAGCAGTAGTACGCAAGGTTTGCTCGGTCATTGGAATCTTTGACAACACTTGGAATTGTTTATTCCACCTTGGCTGCTAGTAAAAATTAGCAGGTAACAACTGTATTAAACGGTACATTAGTAAAAAGACTAAAGAAATGAGACATGGTTCTGAAAAAATGTTTTTGAGATTAATATTTTTAAAATTATAGAAGATAAATTTTATTTCCTATACATACATAAAAGTATATAGTATATGTTATAAAGTCATATGAACATAAGAAAGAAAAAATAATATAAAATTCATATACTTTTGTATATATAGAAAATAAAATCATCTTGAACCATTAATCCTAGCGCTTAAACATGTAAAACCAAAATAAAATAAAAATTGTTATATTGATATAGATTCAAACTATATTCAAACCCTATAAAAATCTTTTTAAATAAGTAAAGGATATAAGGTTCTCTCACAACCACAAATGACGAGAACGACATTACTTCTTCATCATTATCTCTCTCTCTCTCTCTCTCTCTTACACGCAAGCGCACAAACCATTTTCACTCGTTCATCCATTCCACAAAAGTCACAAACAGAAACAAACTACAAAAGATAGAAAATTTATAATTTTTCTTTTTTTAAAAAAATTCTATTGATAATGCTCTTACGTGGCATCATCTCCAGTCCTCCCCCCACCTCTGTGGGGCTTCGCCTCGCAACCCCAACTCATCCTCGAAACGTCATCGTTTCATCCCAACCACCATCCTCCGCCGGCGGCTACCAACTCTCGGTGTCCGACGAGGTCCTGGAGTCACGCGGCTTCGTCCTCCGGCGGAGTGCGGAGGGCCTGGATCTGGACTCGCTGAACGGCGTGTTCGTGGCGGTGGGATTTCCGCGGCGGGACCCGGAGAAGATTCGGGTGGCGCTGGAGCACACGGAGTCACTGCTGTGGGTGGAGCAGCGGAAGACGCCGCGGCAGCCGGTGGCGTTTGCGAGGGCGACGGGGGACGGTGTGTTTAACGCGATCATATGGGACGTGGTGGTGGACCCCTCCTTCCAAGGAATTGGTCTGGGCAAGGCCATTGTGGAGAGGCTCATTCAGGAGCTCTTGCGCAAAGGGATTTCCAACATCGCGCTCTATTCGGAGCCCCGTGTTCTCGGGTTCTATAGGCCCTTGGGTTTTGTTGCCGACCCGGATGGGATCCGAGCTATGGTTTACTCCAGAAAACCAAAGAAAAAATAGGATCATTTATTAATTTTTAATAAAATAATTAACCACTCATTGTTTTCTCTCTCTCTTCTTTTCTTTTTTATTTTGTTTATTGAGTTTTTTCATTTATTGCTTATATCAAAAAAAAAATTCTTTAATTTTTTTTTCTTTCAAATCTCAATTTGGTAATCCAAAAATTATAATTTCACTATATTATGAAGATGTGTTAGCCAGTAGCAAGAGCAATATTTACTTCACATTTCAAGGCAAAGATACAACTAGTCAACTATCATAGACTTTAAAAAGTTTCAAGGTGTAATTTCTCACAAACATTTAATTTTCAGAGGTTGGAAATCTTAATTATATTCAGAAAAAGAAAGTGTGAACACTATACTAGGGATTGCCTAAGCTGAAGAAGATAATTTTTTTTTTCCATGTACGCAGTGACCAGGTAACTAGAAAATGATAATTTATAGTTGAGGGGGTGTTTGTTTCAAGTATTTGAATAAGATTACGGGTAATCTTTCTTTGACAAATGCAATTACCACGTTTGGTAGAAGGAATAAAAATCAATTTCCGGATATGTAAGGATTACCAGTAATTTGATTTATAAAGAAAAGTCACTATTCAGATTACCAAAAATAATATGGTAATTCGGAAAACCAATCAGAATACCAAGTAAAATGAAAGCACAACAATAAATTTTGAGACGAAAATACCTCAATATACATAAAAATCTAGACCCAATCTATCAATTACAAAAGTAAAAATAGTTTGGGGTTATTTTTGTAAAATAACCTCATATTCTAAGTCATATTTCGTTCTAAACCAAACATGGAATCAGTAATTTTTACTCAATATTCCCGGTAATATTTTGGCGAACCAAACACCTCTTTCGTAAGATTCCAATTAAACTCAATTTCTACTGTATTCCCATTAATTATGATTCCCGGATACCAAAAAATTTCTCTTGTACCAAACACACGCTGAAGGCTTTCTCGTATATAATGGAAGAAGTTCCATTTTTTTATGGATTCCTATACAACTACTATTGTTTGGGTAAGATTTTTTTAACCATTATTAGTGACAATTTTGTATCTTAAAAATATTAATTTAATAATAATAATAATATCTTTAAAAACTTAATATGGTTACATTTTAATATTTAGCAGACTAATTTGATAAAAAAAAAATTTGGGGAACAAAATTGAAAGCTTACTCTATTAAAGGATGAAATAGGTGCGATAAATTATGAAAACAATTATTTTTATATTAAATGAGATAAGTTTTTTTTCCTATATATGTTTTGATAACCGTGTTATTTTTTTTTCTTCAGGGTGATGGAGTTTATAAGTTTGTCTCTATGACATGAGATAACTTATTTCCTTTAACGTGAGATTAATAAAACTCATAAATTAAACACTGCTTCAGGTCCAAAATTTCCTTGAAGTATGCAACATTCACTCGTAGCCGATAGCAATTGTTGCCTTTGTTCTTTGTTTCTTCTCTTTCCTTTTTTCTGTTTCTACTTCTTCACCTTTTCAAAAAATTTACCCTTATCACACGTCACCCATCTCTTTTCAGCTGAACTAAATGCAGCCTAAATCTCGCTCAACCAAGCAATCTAACATCCGTGAAAATCAGAAGAAACCATATAATATAGTATGCACATTTGAGACTATAGAATTGTTCCACAAATAGACTCATTTTAAAATAAATTCCTAAATTTTATATTAATCAATTGTTTAGTTCATACATACATTTTAAATATATATATATATATATTTTTTGAAGAAAATGAATTTTGTAAGTTTGTGCCAGCAGCACTAATCCAATGTCCATTAATTGTAACTGGTTTTAGTGACTTTTTTTAACCTAATGTAAACTCTACAAATACTTCATTCTTCTTCATTGATAATTCAACAACTTCATTTTCGAATTCATAATAGTTGAGGACTGAAAATGTATTAGATTTACTGTGACTGACTCATGAACACCCATCTGTTATTATGTTATTTGTTTGACAGAAGCATAATGCATTTAAATTGCTTTATATGTAACATCCTATAACATTGGATGACAGCTTCTATATTCCATCCAACAATTAAAGATATTTCTAACATCCCCGGTCAGAATTGGACAACGAGGCAAACGTTTTCCTTCTGCATTCATGTTAACAACTTCCTTTTGATGAACATCATATGGGGTTCCCGGGATCGATCAATGCCATCATTTGTACAAAGAATATATAAGGATTTATAGTCCAGCCATGTATTTCTAGTGTTTCTTCATTGCTCTTGCTGAAATAAAATCTGGTTTCCAAGACCAGAACTGAACTTACAACTTTCCTTTTTAAAAGCCAGGTGGTCCTAAACCTGAATCATCAAACTTCAGCACCGTCATTCATAAAAGGCAAAAATATTGTAGGAGAGCAGCTAAACATAATGAAATGAATGACCTTTTGACAAAGCAGGATTTGAGTAAACTGAGGTAGGCATGGGTTTTCTTCGTGGTATGGGCTTTAATTCCATGCGGTCAATCACAACAGCATTAGATGTTAGAAATGTCTTGGCCACAGAAGCTGCATGCTCTATACAACATCTGACTACCTGCAGCAATTTTCAAGATAATAGAATTGACCATCATGTGTAATTCTTCATGTACCCTCCACTTCCACTTCCAAATTGGCATGCGTTGTTACATACTTTTTGCCTACTCGTATTCCTACATTATTCTCTTACTTTTTCTTTAAAACAACAAAATTATCACAATAATCACTAAAAGGACAAAACAAATATTTAGATGTGTAAACAAGTCAGACGGGCTATTAAAAACCTACAAACTAGATTTGGTAAAAAAAAAGTCTACTCAACAACTAGGCCAAAGGCCTATTTTAAAGCATGTTTGCCGGTCTACTTGTAATTATAGGTTATATTATCACTGATCCAATTGGCGAGGAGTGTACTTACTTATGGACTAGGATTGCAAGTGCTAAGTTAAATACTCAAATTTGCAGAGATAGATCTATCTTTCCTTAATTTCTCTTATTGAAAAATGTTTTGAAAAGATTAATTGGTAGTAGTAAGAGTTGTTCCTAATTATTCTTGTATTCTAATTTTTAAGTAATTCATATTTGATTTATTACAATTGAAATTATAAATTTATAATAGGTTTCGTAGGCCTAATTGGCCAGACCACATTTATAATTTAGCCCAGACTTAAGATGTTCTACATATGCTTGACCTAGTTACGTTAAATCCTAACCCAACTCGGTCTATTAACACCTGTAAACATTAGATAAACTTCTTTATTAACTATTTCTGTGATAAATTGCTAAATTGAAGATCCTAAAGTTCTGGCTTGAACAAATCAGCAGCATCAGATCTTTATTTTGGCATACTGTTTTTGGATATTTTGCAATATGACATCAGTAAGAGGTCACAACGAATTTACTTATTATTTTCCCTTATTATCTTCTGTTAAAGGCATTCAAATGGTCATACCTTTGTTGGATCCATGATCCCAGCTTTCATGAGATCCTCATAACAGTCTCTAGCAGCATTGTAACCAAAATTCATGTTATCGTCTGATAAAACCTGCATGACATAAGGAGCCTCACGCATGCAGTATAATTCAATATATGTTTTTGAGTTGAATTAACTAAATACTCCAGAAAATCCAAAAATCTCTTCGGTAATCAATCTCTTACAGAAAGCAGTTTCTCAACATGCTCAGGACCTTATATATGACGACATTGCCATTTACACCAGCATTTTTTGCTATCATTCTAGCAGGATAGCTCAAAGCTCTTTTGAAGATTTCAGCTCCAATCTACAGAAAATATTACAGAAGAGATTTCCATGTCTTAAACAGTAAGCAAAAAGGCACAATACAAAAACGAATACTTGCAACCGATTGTTAAAGCAATAGCCTAGTTATAGTGTAAACTTTTAAACATGATGATGGAAAACTTAGCTGTATGAAACAGATAAGTACCTTTTGTTCTTCATTGTCCAGGAGTTTTTTGATGCCATCCACCTTTTGGGAAAGCCTTAAAAGGCTACAGCCACCACCAACTACTACACCTTCCTCGATTGCTGCCTGCCATTTTCAAAGTTAGAACCTTAGCTATAAATTAATAGCAGATCACCTCATTAGAGCCAAGAATCAGAAATACCTTGGTTGCATTTAAAGCATCTTCCATTCTTAATTGTTTATCCTTCAACTCAACTTGTGTTTGTGCTCCTACCTATGATTTAGATTTCAGGTGCTGAAATGTAAATGAACTATCATAAATAGAAACAGAATTCTTAAATTCCAGATTATCACGAGCCAAAATAAAATGAAATTCATATTACCTGAAGAATGGCAATGCCCCCTGATAATCTTGCTATTCTTTCATTCAGTATCTTCTTTTGGAAATTTTCTTCAGTATTCTGCAAAATATGAAATAGATGCGTAGGTAACTCTAGGATACATTAACTGTAAAGAACCAATTCAATCCAAAAACTTAAACTGTTAAGTGAAGGCCCATCAATAGTTTATATACTTCTCTAACACGTCCCCTCACACGAGAGCCCACTGGACATGAAAGGTGGATAATGCACAGACCCACCTAATTGAGCTAAGAAATTCCATAAGAGAAAGTGAGGGGCGGTGAGAATCAAACCCATAACACCGAGTTTTTAATACCATATAAGTGAAGACCCGTCAATGGTTTATGTACTTCTCTAATATTAACCATGCATCTTATTACTTTAACAACTTAAAACACTGGTCAAGTGTTAGATGTGATGATTTTCAAATGGTAAAGTTCTGTATGCACCTCAACTAGTCTTTTAAGTTGATAAACCCTCTTCTCAACAGCTGCTCGAGTACTCGCATCAGTAACTATTAAGGTAGAATTCTTTGTTATAAAAACCTTTGTAGCAGAACCCAGCATATCCTTGCTAGCCTTTTCTAGGGTGAAACCCATATCTTCTCTGATTACAGTACCTGAAAAACATTTGAAGAGCCAAGAATTCAAGGGAGTAAAGAATAGTAGAGAATGCATTAAAACTTGAAGACTATACTTAGAAACTAGTGCTGCTTTCCACTCACTATTTTATCATATTGATGCAAACGGGACTAAGTGCTTCACTTATTTGTCTTCCTTTTTCAAGTCATTAACAACTAACTTATGTGCTGTCTTTATCATTAAGGACAAATACAGGCATCAATTAAGTTGGCTCAAACTGACTTTTCAGTGAGCCATATACTAAGGTACGATTCATTAAAAGTACATAACATATTTAAGCTTCTAAATTTGAGTACTTGATAATCTACCTCCAGTCAAGATGGCAATATCTTCTAGACAGTGGGTCTTGCGTACACCAAAGGCAGGAGCCTTAATAGCAGCTACCTTAAGCACTCCCCTGAGTTTATTTTTAATAACTGGAGCAAGAGCTTCCTGCTCAATTCCCTCTGCAACTATCACAATTGGATACTTCTCTTTCACGGCACAGTTCAATATGTTAATCAGCTCCTTTGGGTTTGTGATTTTTTTGTCTACCAAAAGCAACTGCAACCAAAGAATTATGCACCATCTAATTACTTCATAGAACTCAGGTGAGCCTTTAATATACAAATTGTCAAACCTTGCAGTTGTGGAGTTCAATTGTCATCTTTCTTCGATCATTGACAAAGTATGGGGATAGATATCCACGATCAAATTGCATTCCTTCTACAATCTCTAGACTATTCTCAATGCACTTTCCTTTTTCAATTGTTACTACTCCCTTCCTACCTACTTGATGCAGAGCGTCAGAAATCATCTTTCCAAGTAGGTAATCATTCCCAGCACTGACTGCAGCAACATCTATAAGTTCATGATCCTCAACCTACAAATGCAACCAATGTTGTTGAATTCAGCAAGACTTTCCAATTACAGTGGCAGGCAGCAAAAACCATAATTAAATCAACATATGCAGCCAGATAATTCTGATTATTATTCTCAAAATGTTCAATCCTTCAGGAGTTTTGAACAAACTAAAAAAGAAAAAGAAACACCCATTAAAGAGTACAGTTTACTTCTCTAGACATCAAATTGAGTTCAGAAACAAGTGCTGTCGCTGTCTTCTCAATCCCACGAGCAATTTGAACAGGATTCATTCCAGCTGCAATAACCTACAAAAGGAGAAAGAAAAGAGAGGCTAAGAGCTCAAAATTTAAGAATACCCTTTTTAATTAAGGCTGTATAGTGGCATGGTAAAAAAGACATAAACTGAAAGCTAATGCTTTTGTTAATCTTCATTTGCAATTTCGAAATATATATTTGGGCTTTTTTTATTATAGACATATATGTTAATTATTTGTCATTTAAACCTTCAAATATGCTACCACGCAATCAATTATGTTCTGATTGAAGTAGATAGGGTTCTCATGTATGGCTAGTTAAATGTACCTTTGTCCCCTCTGTGATTAAGCCATGAGCAAGAACGACAGATGTAGTTGAGCCATCACCAGCTAAGTCATTGGTTTTTGCACCAGCTTGCCTCACCAATTTAACTCCAACATTCTCCAACGGATCTTCCAATTCAATCTGAAACAACATTAAAAAAAAAAAAAAAACCAAAAAAAAGTTCATAAAAAGAAAGCACAAAACCAAGTTGATATTAGACCTGATTATATTGAAGTTATTAAACTACACAACCAACAGTTTAAACCTCCAAATTTGGGGGTGGGGGTGGGGGAGTAAACTTGTCACTTATCCATGACATTCATAAAACTAGTAACATATAACAGATTACAAAAAAAGAGCACATCAATAAAGGGAAGAAGCAACTGGTCGATTGTAAAGAACCAATTCAACCCAAAAGCTTAAGTTGTTGGGTGAGGCTATATTAATGGTTTTATATATCTCAACACGCTCCTTCACACGAGAGTCCACTGGATTTGAAGGGTGAATGATGCACAGACCCACCTACCTGTGCTAAGAAAATTCCACAAGAGAAAGTGGGGTGGTGAGGATCGAACCCGGTACACTGAGGTTCTGATACCATATAAAGAACCAATTCAATCTAAAAACTTAAACTGGCTGAGACTATATTAATGGTTTTATATATCTCATCAAGATAGATGATCAATGACTAACAAGAAAAAACACCTCTTTGAGAACAGTTTCTCCATCATTTACAATCTTGGGTGGCCCATACTTGTTCTGCAGCACAACATTTCTCCCCTTGGGACCCAATGTAACACCAAGCAGCTCTGCCACCATGTCCACCCCTGCCTGCACCACCACCATCAAAAACCAACTCACTGAAATCTTGTGAAGGGCATAAACAAACTGGGTATTAAACAACCAGAGCTCTAGAATCCTTACCAGAAGCTTCTTTGTGGCTGAACCATCATGGTTCAAGTAAAGTTCTTTGGCCATAGCTCTCGGGTTTAGAACATAAGAAGGTGAAGTTCGGGGTCTGCGAAGTGATGATGGATTGGCAAAGGAGAATGCAGATATAGGAGATGGAGAACATGCCATGGTTTTGGTTTACTTGTAATGGCTGTGATAGTTGAAGTAAACAACTATTAGCTTTGTGTTTTGTACTATGTAGTGCAACAAGTTGAACTTGAACTACTCTGAGCTGAACAAAGGCTTGGAGTGTGGACAATGTTGGTGGATAAGAGCACCACTCCATTTTTTTTTTCATTCTCTTTATTTTTTTGGCATATTATTTGAAATTACTCACTGGATATAAAAAAAAAAAAGAAAGTATTGCAACTGGTGCATATGACAAAAGAATTATATAATTACAAATAGATGTTTATATTCCACTCCGTCGAGTACTCGGGTTGAATTAATGGATTATTAGTTACACCAGTTGACTCGGATAAATATAAATGAATTTATATTTTATATTCAAAATTTCACAAAAATATTTAAATATTTAAATATATGGAAAATGTTTTTCTCATATTGCATGAGACATCATGTAACACATAAAAAAGTGAGTGAGATCCACTAAAAAGAAAAGAGAGAAAGAAAAAAAGTGAATTCGACCGACTCTTTTATGTATTGCATGAGATAATTTATCTGATACAACATGAGAAAAATATATCCCTAAATATATATATATAGGGAAAAATATTTCTCAAGCAACATAAGTTTATCTCCGGCTATTCCAAAACTATGTCGTTTTTTTTTTTTTTTTTATATTAATTGATTCATCTTTGAATGGTTATGATTCCTTTTTTTTCTCTCTCTTTTTATTCGTTGATCTATCTTTGTACCGTTATGATTTAATAGCCATAGATAAAATTATCTGAAACAACTTGAGAAATGATAAACCCATATATATATATATATAAAAGAGTTAAAACTTTCTTATGTTACAGAAAAATGTCAACTCATTCCTGTACAAAGACAATAGCATGGGTTCCATGGAAGTTTAAAAAAAGAAAAAGAAAAAAATTTCAACCCGTATATATATAACAATTTAGGGATTTTGATTGCTGATACTAGTATAAAAAGTAAAAACAGTAAAACACAACATTTAACAATTTTTTCTAAAAAAAAATGAAAATTACATACCCACTAGTTTAATTGGTTTTAAAAAAACCAATTACGTTATCGGTTTTTATCAAAACTTCGCCGAGTCAAAGTAGTTCTCACCGGATCAATTACATGCTCAATCCACTGACTTAAATTGATTGTTTTGCCAATTTACCGATTTTCGAGTGAACGAGTCCGGTCAGAGACCGGAATTAATATCACTTGTTAATTTACAAAGAACTAGAAACACAAATGTTCACTTTGAACTATTCATGAGACATTGTGACTAATCCCTATTCCACTACAGGAACACGAGCTTACACGGTCTCTTTATAAAATTAAGTTGTTTTCCTGAAATTTAAATATGCATGTTCATTGCAAGCAGCAAACTTTCGGTACAACCGGTATATGTAATTCAGTACACCCACCTGTTAAAATAGGTATATTTTTTTTACTTTAATCTTGCTTTATTTTTTTTATTTTTTTATATTCCCCTTTATAAAAAAACACCTTGATCGACCTAGCCTTTGTACAAGTGTAGGTTCTATAAATATTCGTTAATATTAATTTGTAACAAAAACTAAAATTTTTAATTGACACACACGATAGTATTGATCAATAAACTAATAATATTATAAAGGAGATTATTTCCTTTAATGTTTAATTATACTTTCAACTTTCATATATAATTATAAAGAAGGGTTTTGCATCTATTATTTAACATGATCACAACAACTTTCCTACACACACAACATTTTGTAGAATCCGTAATTTTTGAAACCAAAAAGAAAAAAAAAAACTTGGGCACGCAAAACGAATCTCTATAACATAACACAATCACTTTTCCTACAACATAACTCTTATAAAACCATATAAAGAAACACTATACTGATAGATGTATTTATATTTAACGGTTACAATTGACATACACTAATTAACTAATCTATATGCTTGCATATATGGATTCTAATTTATAAGTAATATAAGCAATTAGACACGAATTGAATCAACTATCAAAATTAGATGTAATTAAAATGAACTCAGCTTTTAGTCCCGATTAGCATACTTTGTAGTTACAAAATGAACTCAGCTTATAATATTTGAAAGAATATTTAAGGATTGGAATTAGTATGAAGTATTAAAGTTGATCTTGTAAGTTTTACTAAATTAAGTTTATAATGTAAGATTAAATGATAGTCTTAAATAAAAACATTTTATCAGCAAAAACAGCAAGACACCCCCAACATCAACAAGTGAGCGTGTTAATTTATCCTAAACTAGACTTACCAGAACAGCTTGCACCTCATCACAAGAAAATAAAGAATAACCATGAAAGAAACGGGGTAACGGTTCTCACTTCTCAGTTCTCAATATAATGTCTCTCCATTAAATATTGATGCTTCCTAGAAAGACAGAACAATTAAATTAATGGGGTATTGAATTTGCATTTGACTTTTTGGTTGCATGGTTTCAATGCTTACTCATGGAACTTGACAACTTTCCACCAAAGAAAGATTCAGTCTCCGCAGTTTTCAACACAATTCATGGTCTTTCACTTCTTTTTATCTTACTTTACTCTCTTTCAGCCTTTCAAGTTATTCCCTCATTCTCTTTGTATGTGCTACGGTTTTATGCATATTGAAGAGCTAACCAAATGGCAAAGTGCATCACATTCTTCATTCTCTCCATTCTTCTACTCAAAGTTGCTGAAGGCCGGTCCATGTTCAGCTCTATTAGTCCAGATTCTGTTTCTCAAAGACCAGTTTCTTCTTCCCATATAACATTGTCACTTGTAAGTGGGCTCTTTCATAAGCTGTTTTGTTCAGTTACATACTATATTCATGTTTTTGTTCAGTGCTCTGGAGCATATGCACACTGTAGTGTACACACCTTATTTGACTATTTCCTTGGCCTATGTAGGAGCAGACAGGGCTCAATGATGATTTTGGTGCTTGCAAGGAACTAGACAGCACTGAATGTGTGGTTAAAAGATCAATGGTTGCTCATACGGATTATGTCTACACCCAAGATATCAATGGGCCTTGATTTTGCAATTTTTTGCTTTTGTTTTTGCTGTTCACACTGTTCATTAAGGATCACGTTGTCACTCAGAGAAGTGTTATCTCTTTGGAATACAATTTCAGCAATGTGAAAAGGATGTTTCTTTTTTGCGCCCGCTGTTTGCTTTTTGATATAGATAAAGAATATAACCGCCTCCAGTTAAACCTCGACTAGCAAGCAAGAGTGGTGTGAGTGCTTACCTTTACATATTTAAATAGAGTTTGTTTTTCGAATTTAAATCCATGACCTTTCACTCACAACAAAGCAATTTTATCAATTTTTAAGTCTCACCCACTTTTTGCTTCTGCTTTTTATAAGGATGACAAATATACCAGATAATGGTGCCAACCCAAGCTCTGAAGTATTAATGCTTGCGAAAATTGGACCTTTTTGTATTTAGGCCATTGGTTAATCAAGCAGTTTAGGTATATCATTGTTAATAATGTCAGGATCTTTAAGCTTGTAGCTGAGACTTAAAATTCGTAAGCACAACTGGTGGCTGTCTTTTTCAGAGCGCATATTAGTTCATAGATTGAAAATGGTTGCAGACAAGTGGCTAAAAGGTAGGGACTGTTAATGATGACACTTAATGTTGGATCTTGGCGTAGCAGCTGAAGAATGGAGAATGCTTTTAGTCCTCAAGAATGTCATTATCATGGGTTTAGAGTTAAGAGAAAAACTTGAGAATGGTATATGAAAATAGTATGTGACTGTCGGGCTTGTGTGAACAAAAATGTTTCAAGTTTATATATATATATATATATTGCAAAAATATTTAAGTGAGATTAGACACTGATATCTCACTAAGATCAAGGAAGACCTTAGCCATTTATATCTCTAGGTATTACAAGAAACCATTTTGAATTCTAACAGCAGCTCCAACAATGTTTATTGGTGCAACTGTTTCAAAGAAAGCAGATGAAAAGTAAGGTGCTTTTTGAGAACTTTAAATTGAAGAGAAGTGGAGAATGGAGAACGCATAAAAATTATGCCGACAAAAAGGGCTATATACCTAATTATGACTTGTGGTTGAGATAATACCACTGGATTAATTGCTTTGACAAATTTGTATGGCTTATCTTCTTTCACAAATGGGTTGGTTGACCCTATGATGGAGCGCACGTTGACACGGGACACGACATGATATGCCGACACGTTAATTTTAAAAAATGGTATATTTTGATACGTTGGGACATGTTTTGATATTAAATAATATTTTTAATATATATAATATAATTTATCTTTAATAGATATAACAGTCCATAATAAGTCATATAACCAATCAAATATTCAAATTTCATAATATAAATATAAACAAAAATAATTTTCTGTACCTTGTTAATTTTTCATGTCAAATTTCATAACAGAAAAAAAATTGATTTATAAATGATTTTTTTTATTTTTAATTAATAAAATAAAATTAAGACTAAAAAAAAAAACGTGTCCGAGCAGTGACCACGTGTCCGAAAAAGTTGACTACGTGTCGAAAAATGTGTCGAAGTGTGTCTGAGAGTTGACCACGTGTCCCAAAATATTGACCGCATGTCGGACGCGTGTCTGAGCCTGTCGGAGCATGTCCGTGTCGGACACGTGTCCGACACGCACAATTCAAAAAAAATTGCGAGTCCGTGTTTCGTTGGGTTGACCAATAAAGTGTGCCATAATTGATAAATCGCTGAATCCATTAATCATATTGATAGAAGTTCGATCTCTAAGTATATATATGGAAATGACTTTATTGATAGAGATAAAATCCATTTCGAAAGAATTAATCTTCTGTTATCGGCCAACAAATACCTTGAGAAAATTTAAAAATAAAAATGAGTCGTGTTGCGTGTGGAATTTGAATTAAGCTAATAATGTTTAAAGTCTGAAGTCAATGATATATTCAGAGGCATGTGTTAATTAGTTTTATATGGTATTATTTTTGAATTTTTTTTTTTATGTCACATAAAATAAATTTTCTCTATAACTCTCACAACAAATGATGAGACCCACTTTATTTAAAAAAAAAAATAGAATACGAAAATTGAAGTAAAAATAAGAGATATAATTTTTCTTAGAAATAAAACTCATTGTTTTTATATGGTCTAAACTTATTTTGTGCAATATGCACAATTTTCCATGTGATTTACTTTACAAAACGTGATATAGCTCGGAAACAGGTTGAAATGCAATGTAAATTATTTACTCTCTTCACATGTAATTGGTGACACTATAGAAGATTCAAGTCACATACCAACAATCCAAAAAATTCAGGGTTAAGTTTTATTGTTACCCATATAAATACTCATTAGCTGTTATGGTTAGATCAAGATTGAAAACTGAAGTATCGACACACATCCCCTAGTTTGAAAATAATTTGAAAGATAAACTATTAGGATCCCCTAGTTTGAAAATAATTTGAAAGATAAATTATTAGAATTAGTCTAGTAACGAGGGATTTTGATTATTTGCATGAGAATATAAATTCGAATCACAGTGTTACTAGGGGTGTTAACGGGTCGAACCGAGCCGAGCTTTGGTCTTAAAAGGCTAAGCCTGTGTTTAAATGTATCGACTTTACCAAGCCTGTTACCTGTTACGAATATAATTATCGGCTTGTGGCCTACCTTATTTACAAAAAAATAAAAGCCTGATTTAGTCTGTTAGAAAAAAATAAGACAACAAAAATTTATCCTAACAAAATATACAATCAACAACACTAGTAATTTTATAAATTCAATGTATATCCAAACAGCATAATATAGAACAAAATCATTCAAAAAGTATGTTTAACTAATAAAATATAGGCGAAATGGATTGAGAGGAGAAAGAGGGTTATTACAAATGATATAAAAAATTAAATAAAAATAAAAATTAATATACTAGGCCAGCCTGATAAGCTCCAAGGCCGAGCTTTTGAATGGGAGCCTGATGCCTTTTTACTAAACGAGCTTTTATACAAGTCAAAGTCTGGTTCCAACAATCAATATTAGGCATGTAAGCTCAGACCTTCACGAGCCGAGTGAAAGGCTCCTGACTCGTTTATCACCCTTAAGTGCCACCATTATATATAAAAAAAAAATAGTTTGGAAGATTATACGAGGAGACATTACAACCAAAGAAATCCATGTGCATCTTTGTTCGAAAAGGCATATCCTTTATAATTGTGTAACGATGATGATTCGTTAACATATAAATGCATTCGATCTATTAAAATTTGCATTCACTGAACCAATTTTTCTTTTCCAACATCAAGTTCATTTAGAGGAATGAACATAGTAACGAAGAAATATTGCTGCTTTGCTAATTGGGCTCGAGAAGTAGAACAGGCCGGGCCTTACATTTATATAATCTTAAGCATGACAGGCAACATAGAGATATGTCATAATTGATTCCTTTTACTATACTTTGTTGATACTTTATGTGACAGATGAAGGGAACGACCCAATAAATAAGAACTTGGAAGAAAGAGCAAATGAGAAAGAAGAGAAGTCATTTGAACATAAAACGCAACACAGGAAGTGCATCCAAGTCACTATCAAGTATGACTCATGCCCGAGTTCTGTGAGAGTAAAAATAAAATAGTAAAATACAATCCATGTGATTAAATTTTATATAATATTTACATAATGCTTTTTTTTTGTTTTTTGGTAATCACATAATGCTTTTTTAATTGAAGGTTTTATGACATTTTGGAAATTGAAAATGGGGAAATTATTATTAAAAAAACAAAAACTGATTACTTTAGTTATTATTAACTATAAATAACCTAAAAAATAATAAGCATCAACAATAGAGCACAAGAATTAAATGGAGGTTCAGTCATAAACTTACATCCTCCTCAAAATCTCTCCCCCAATTTTCTTTCTTATTTTAGAGCGGTTCCATTTATTTTAAATAAAATGTAATACAAAGAGTCAATAGTAACAACAATTTAAATTTAAACACGTGAAAAGAATAATTCTTAGGGGCTTCGGGACTTGTTTGGTACATAGTATAGGATAAGACCTGATAGTATATATACAATGCATTATTAAATACTAGATGATATTATCTCATACAATATATTATTTTATACAATACCGTACCAAGGCTGGATAGTATTAAAATTCAATCAGATCTTATACAATTAAACCTTATACTATCAGACCTTATCACTATATAAAATATCTTCTACTACTTTCACAATTATATAGTGAAACCCATATAATTATAAAGTAAAAAAAATAAAAAATTCTATGTCTCTACAGAATAGTTTTCACGTGATCCTTATCCTTTACCCTACTAGTTAATCTTATCTATTATTTTTCTATAATCTTCTTCAAACCCCTTTTTACTCGCAACACTTATACTATGCTAATATTTTGAAGTTTAAATTTTTTACATTCGTGGTATTGACTCTTCTTGAAGATTGGCAAGCATTCCAACAACAACGTGACATGATTTGACAATTTGTCAAAAAGCTGCAAGATTTGCATTTAATGCTATCAAGATTCGCATGTCAACAATACAGTCATTATGATGCCACACGCTTCTTCCACCTAAGTTAATTCATGTTTATCTTGTCTGATTTATTTTGTCATCCTTTTAAGATTTAAGCAAATCTCCAACCTAACGCAGAAACTGTCTTTTATGTGTTAGTGAATGTTTAGATCATACACCTGCAAAAGCATAGACACAATTTGACAATTTAAAAAGGGTGGAAAACTGGATAGAATTGCTGCTGGGGCTTGCTGATGCAGTTCCTTGTCGCTTTGTTAAAGATAGTGTACTATTTTTTTTTTTTTTTTTGGAATACATGATAGTGTACTATTTCAAGCAACACCTGAAGTATAGGCTCCACTTGATTATATAATACACAATATTAGTGACAAGAATGAAAGTTGGGGTTGATGCCCTTAGAACAGTTTTCTGTTTTGGTGGATACCCTTTTGATTACATGTTTTGCTTATTGTGGTAGTCATTGCATGATGATCCACTACCACCAGCACTTCCACAAGCATTTGTCGTATTGGCCCTGTTACTCTCTGCAACAATGGACACCCTTTTGGGTGTTCTTTCAGATTTATGATACCTTGTTTTACCTTTGCACGTGCATAGCTCATTCCTCACCTGCTCTTGCCCCCACGGTCCTACAAAAGACAAAAGTATATATGCCTACTTCTTAATGCAGAAATGAATTGTTTTGTTTCCCATTAAGTTTTTCTTTTCCTCCTTTTTTTAATTTTATTTTATTTGTGGCCTTTCATATGTTTCTATAATAACTGTTACATTTTCATTATGGGGTTTATAGACACCATTTCGTTTTGTTGATTTCGTGATAGGTACTCATAGTGTCATATTCAGTCAGGCCTGGGACACTGCTTAATCACCTACAAAGTAAAGCACATATGGAATTAAACGTAAATTTCTTAATACTATAATGAAGCCAAGTAAAGAACCTCTAGAGTTGTTATTTTATATATATATGCCTCTAAACTCATACAGCTCCAATAATGGAGGCAGCAATTGGATCATAAACATCTACATTAAGAAGAAGGAACATAAAGTAATATTTTTATAGTGGGAAATAGCTTCATTCATGAATCAAGTCCGCAGAAGTAATAGATTGGTTTGATGATTCAGCTTTGAGTTGAGATGTGTTACATGGAACCTCATCAAAATCTCTCAAGGTGCAAGCAAAAGAGTTTCCAATTTGCATGTCTGCTAGCATTTGGCGAAGATCAGAAGTTTCTTCCTTGAGGCGTGCATTCTCTTGAACAACTCGGTCATGGGACTCAGAAACATGGTTCAGTTTGTCAATAAGGTTGTGATTCTCAGTTCTTAGTCTAACCACCTGTGACCACAGTTCATCCAAGTGCTTTTGCTTCCTCATCCTTGATCTGCGTGCAGATTCTCTGTTAGATATCATTCGCCTTTGCTTTCTTTCATCGATGACGTTGAATTGAAGTTCATCAGCTTCATCAGAAGTTGAGTTGCTGCTGAGGCATGAAGGAGGAACAAATTCATGGCCTGAAGATGGGAAGTGGCAGTTTGGCAAGCTGGTTAAGAGGCTATTCAGATGAAGGTTTGGAATATCACTCTGTAGCAAGCCAAAGTTTGGTGGAACTAGGAATGGATTTTCAGGTGCTAGATAATGGACTCCTCTGATCTCACTGGGAACCATGGTTGGAATTCACAATATGATACTCTTAAGGGTGGTGTTGAAGATATGCTGTGTGAGAAAGGAGTGGAATTTATAGGAAGATAAGGACCAGAAAAGTGGGCCAGTTTAGCAAAGAGTCACAGTGCCAGGGCTTACATGAGCACAAATTTAACAATTATTGGGAAAGTGCTTCTAATGCATATATGCATGTGGTATGAGATGCATCCCGGAAAAGATCACCCCTTTTTATCATATAACATTTTTGGGTTATATGCTATGTGCCTTATGTCATTATGTGTATTATTACTGTATGTAATCTATTATCTATGGTTCTATGCTGACATTAGTCATTGCCAATATGCTGTAATGGAAATTTATGATTTGAAACTTTTGGCACCAGATACAGCCTATGATAAAAGAGGAAAATGGATGATGCAGTGGGAGGATGGTGCTTAAATTCTAATTTTAATTTTAAACGAAAAGTGGCAAAGATAAGGAAAAGAGGTACATCATAAATGGTGTCAAAGTCAATCCCAGGAGAGTTTTCTCTTGAGGTCCCTACCCAATTTCAGAAGCATTTTTGAAAATTGAAAACTCTTGCAGCCAATAATTCCTTATGATAGATGACGCAATGAATGCCAGTTTAAAAGTTGCAATTGATATTTGATGGTCATTATTATTATAATTTTGATGACTCATGAGCCACTAACATATATGGATTGAAGGGACCTATGTTGGAGTAGTGTTTTTTTTTTATAACATCTTGTACCTAAATTCCTGTCATTTCATCATGTAAACATTCTATTAAACAGAGCAAGGCAAAGCATTACACAAACAGTCAGTGTGAGTTTCATCACACTCCTTGGCTTTCTGATTACCAGTTTATTTATGTTCTTTGGAGCTTACATGTAGATACAACTCTACAAGGTCATTATTGTGGTAAAACTAATGTTCTCTTAAATTTATGTTCATGTAGTGTTACCTTATAACAATTCTAATTAAAAATTCAGCTATAAACAAATTATTCGATGATAGCTATTTGAACCCATTGCCCATATAAATATGACTTGCTTTCAGTATGCTTTTCCTTTCTATCTTATTTTTGAATTTTGATCCTTTACGTTAAGCTTCCTCCAAATTGATTGGATAAGAACTAAAAAGCACTATATGCATGAGGCCAGAAGCACTTATTAGAACTCGTTTATGGTATTACAGATGTCTCAAGAACACTGTAGTAACCATCATTTTTCCTGAGGGTCTTCATCGCATAAGGTTCATTCAACACCTTGATGGAGTTCACAACATATCAGGAGTTGACATATCTGTTTGCTTCTCTAAAATAGTACTTTAACTTTTTATGCTCCCATTTTAGTTGCCTAAAATACCTTATTAATCCGATATCGTTCAAGGTAACAAAAAGTGGCAGTATCTTTTTGATATGCATAATATAAATTGTTCTTGATAATAGTTTAGTTATTTTACTAATCTGTCCCTCCTCATGGCCCACTTGCATGATAAGATAAAAAAAAATATATATATATATCTCCAAAGATTAGATCCAAAAAGTTTTGGCAAATCTAAGAGACTAGGCAGCAACTTACGAACGCAAATATTATTGTTTTATTCTGTAGATGTACCATCCGTGCAGGGTCTTCTCTTATTTTCTAGGATTGGAGCGGTTATACTTATATTACTGCATTTTAACAGCTTAAACTTAGGCAATATTGTTCTACTGTAAAGGATAGGTTATTTTATCTATCATCATTTTTTTTGTCTATCTTTGTCTATCATTTTAAAATACTATTAGATCAGAATATTAACTAACATTTATCTTTTTCTCTATTCTTGAAATTTTAATCTAATGATGTTTTAAAGTGATAAAAAAAATAAGCAAAAAAAAAAAATAGGTAAAATAACATAAGCAATGTTTTTATCCGATAACAACAAAAAAGTATTGCCGTAAACTTATTAGGTGATTCCCCACTAACCAATTTGATAAGGGTGAAGTACAATATAGTTTGTAAAAGGAAAAATAAGAAAAATAAAAATAAAAAGGTGGTGGTGAAGTACAATAAAAGAACATTCCAGATAAACCATCTCTGAAAGGTCATCATGTGTTGGAATTTATATGGAAGTTCCTTCTTTAGTCCATCATACTTTATAAATTCCTAGTAAAGGTATCATAGTGCTTTGCCATTATGTAAATCAAGGGGCTATCTTCTATCACCGTGAAACCACAATTCTAGAAAACCAAAAACAAAACTAATCATACACTGTTACGTTTATTTGTGGCTAGTTTTGTTGGTTTAATTAGATAACTTTGTTCCTTCCATGTGCAGAGCAAGCAATATTTTTCCAAGGATCTTTTAATGTCCACCACAAAAACAATGTTAGTAGTATGCAAGTTTATAGTATGAAGATATTATTCCAAAGTAAACGGCATGATAGTCGAATCCTATATATATATCCTTAAAGTACATCAGAATTTAACTTTTGTGAAATAATCATGATTATAGGAAATCAAACATTTACTTAATAGTTACAAGCTTAAAGTTCATTAAGACTTACAGGATAAGAATTAAAGTAAATCGAGAATAAAATTGAATAATCTAAGAGTTAGGCAACAATTTCCATTATTTCTTCCACTCTGCACTGCCAAAGCTTCCGGCTTTAATCGAACGACAACTAGCTAGCATTATTCAGGAGATTTGAAAGGTGGCAGACTGGCAGTTAATGTGCATATATAAATCTACTCTAAAAGTTGAAAACATGATAAACAATTACATAAGTGAGGTTTGATTGAGATCCACAAAATTTGCTCAAAATCTGCTTCAAACAAGATATACTAATATTGTATAAAATGTTGAATACGCTTCATGGGCGATACATACCTTTTACCTTGAAAATTATAACCCAAAAGCTTGGAGTAATAACTATAGCAGAAGATGATCATTAATTATCAGCACATTATTGACAAGAACCTCTCTTGTCTTTTTCCAAATAGGTTGTGTCCTTTTGAGGCAAGGGTCATGTTAAGGTTTAGAAGCACACAGTGCACACCATTTCCATGAAATTGGTGGCCTGCATATACTCATCTCTACACTGGCTATAAAAGTCAGAAAAAGGAAAAGTTGAAATAAACATGACAGCACTATTCAGCTGTCTACAAGTTTGGCCAAAAATTGTGCAAGGTGTACGGAAATGCCTTTTTCCTCCATCCAATACGAAATTTACAATATTTTCTTCATCAATTTCGTTTTTTTAATAATAACCTTCCTTATCTTATGTCCTCATTTACCAAATTCATATAATATCGTTTTGAAGCAAAAAAAAAATGGGGATGTCTAACTGATAGTTGGTAATTGTATTTAGGATTTATACTCTTATAGGGGTTTATGGAAGAAACATTGCAAAGAGTACTAGATCATGTACACAATAATAATAATAATAATAACGCATAGGCATAGTCAAAGATGTGTATGTATAATGACAACTAAGAAAGTATAGAGTTCAGAATATGTATTTGGTTGACTTAACTTCTTATTTATAAATGTGTTACTTGTGTAATTCACAGGTCCTCTTATGGTGTTTTTCTCAAACACTTAATCACACAAGCAATCCTCTGAATATACCTCTTTGTATTACTGATTCTGCCAAGTGCAACTTTACAAGAGTTACAATGCGCTTTTTATAAGCAACAACAAATGATTAAAAATAATAATGACTAACATAGGAAATCTAAACATATTAATTATCCATTAACATATGTCTAGGGACACACCATAAAACAAAACTCGTCATATTTCTATTTTCTTTTATTTAAATTAAAGATTAACCTAACAAAACTCTCCCTTAATCTTTAATATCTCTACCGTCCTTCATGCCCATCTTCTTCTTACGATTTTCTAACAACAACGTCGGCAGGGGCTTTGTAAAAATATCTCCAACTTGATCTTGGCTTGCAACATGAGTGAGCTCCACCTTTCCTTCTTTTACTTGATCCCGGATGAAATGGAATCTGACATCAATATGCTTACTTCTTTCATGATTGACCGGGTTCTTTGCTAACTCGATCGCTGATCTGTTGTCAACTCGAATTTCGGTTTGGCCGACTTGCTCTTGCTCCAGCTTGCTTAGTAAATTCCTCAGCCATATTGCATGGCAAACACACCAAGATGCCACAACATACTCGGCTTCACATGTAGACAGGGTAACAATAGGTTCCTTCTTCGACACCCAAGTAAACGCCGTGTTTCCCATGAAGAACACATAGCCAGCCGTGCTCTTTCTATCATCAACATCTCCGCACCAATCACTGTCTGAATAACCCGTCAGTTTGTATTTGTCCGACTTCGAGTAATGAAGTCTTTGTGAGATTGTTCCCTTCACATATCTCAGAATTCTCTTAGCCGCCTTCCAGTGAGTGTACCTCGGGTCTTCCATAAATCGACTTATGATCCCAACACTCAGACACAGATCTGGCCTTGTACATGTTAAGTATCTCAGACTTCCAACTAGACTCCGGTAAATACTCGGATCCACTCTCTCTCCTCCATCATACTTTGAGAGTTTCAAACCGGGTTCCATTGGCGTTGAAATCGGGTTGCAATCACTCATTTTGAACTTCTCTAAAATTCCTTTTGCATAGGCTTCCTGAGAGACGAAGATCTCGGATTCATCTTGTCTAACCTCCAAACCAAGAAAATATCTCATCAGACCGAGATCCGTCATCTCAAACTCCTTCGTCATTTTCTTCTTAAAATCTTGAATCATTCCTTCATCATTACCCAAGAAAATCAGATCATCAACAGATAGAGCAACAAGTAAAATTTTACCTCCTTTCTTCTTTACATAGAGAGCATGTTCATACGGACACTGCTCAAATCCATCATTCTTAAAATAATTATCAATCCTCGTGTTCCAGGCTCTTGGGGCCTGCTTCAAACCATATAAGGCTTTCTTTAATCTCAACACTTTTCTTTCTTCTCCGACTTTCATAAAACCCGAAGGTTGTTCGAGATACACCTCCTCCTCGAG